CACCAAAACGCCTAGGCGCCGGCCTGCGCTTTTTTCAACACTGAATGAAAGTTATGAAGTAAACCCTCCAATGTTATTTGTAATCTTTTGACCCCCTGAATAATTGTGTAAGGCGTTTGACCCTTTAAATGATGTTCTCCCCAACATAAACCACACTGCCCAAGAATGATCCAGAACACCAGAATATCTTAGTGTGTTGCGTTACAAATGTATAGGCCTACCTGCATAGAGCTGCAAATGAGCATTTTCATTTGTTGTATTTGGTAAAATCTAAATCTGTGAACTGATGGAGTAATCATTACATTGTTGAATATACACGCAAGTTGTTGAAGAGTATTTGTTGTTTGAAGTTGGCAATATAACATGGATTTGTATTCATGGTATATGCCTTAGGTTAGTTGTCCCTTGATTCACCTTTTGATGTGGATTGATTCTATTGGCTAGGCTCATGTGAAGTTTATTGAATGACGCATTTTGATTGGCTCATCCATGAGATATTATCCTAATTGGAATTGTTTTTCCAAATTACTATAAGGGCATGCCCCCCTACCCTTATGATGTTTATTTTCGTAAAGTTTTATGGACAATTATGGTATAATTAAAGGGCATATGAAGAAACTTTCTATGGGACAAGGACAATTTTGTAAAATGGCTAATCTAGGGTTTTGTAGAGTGATAATGGTGTGCAAATCACATCCATTGATATTGATGGCTAGGCATAGATGTGTGGTTAGGATCATAGCCTTCTCATATGCCATAGATAAATAGCATCAAGGGCTAGGATTTACTCACTCACAATGTCACACCCCAACAAGTCTATATAAACCCTTGTCTGCACACTTGTGAGCCATTGTAGAGAGAGAGCAATAAAGAGAGAATTGTCTTCCATGCCCCTCATTTTCCAGCATTCACTTTCTCCCTTGAGCCTCTTCCCTTCTCCTTTGGTGAAGCTCCTTGATCATGGTGATGGTATATACAAAATCTCAAGGTGTCTAGTCCATATCTTCGTAGGTAACATCTCTACCATCTTCTTTCCATTTTTTAGCCTTTCCATTTTTGTTGATGTGCTGTAATTCTTTCATTACAGCAACATTTTTACCTCATTACCTTGAGTTTCATTGATCTTTTATTACTCTTTTGAACTTTTGAACTATGCATGTATACTGCATTTTGTAGTCTTTGAATTCCCACACTAGACACCATTTTCTTCAAGATTTGAGCACCTAATTTTCTTTGGGATTTTGCGCATACTTTTCATGAAACTCAATGACCATTTAGTGTCCTTTTGAGACTCATTTATTGGAGTGTGGACTTGGACAAAAGTGTTTGATAAATTGCCACACTATACATCATTATTTGGTCATAATCTTATGATCTATGTGAGCTGTATTAATTTAGCTTCACCAAACTATTTTGTGAATTAAAAGTTTCCCTCTCTCTTTCTCTCTCTCTCTCTCTCTCTCTCTCTCTCTCTCTCTCTCTCTCTCTCTTTTTGATCATGATCAAGTGGTAGATCAGTGACCATTAGCTTCCCATTTGTGTGAGTGAGAAAACCCTTTTGATTAGAGTCATCCGTGCTATCATTATGAGACAAAATTAAGTCCCCTAAAGGTCTTCCTATGTGACCCAGGCACAAAGGGTTCGATCATTGATTCCCATTGGTTGATCGTAATTTTATTTGCTGTAACTTAGAGTTATTTAATACGTTGAGCTATGAGGAATTGAGCATATCATATTTGGAACATGTTTATCTTTATGTCTTTCAGCCTATTCCTTAATGCCATGTTAAATCCTTGGCCATAGACTATGCAAATTGAATTCGAATATTGGCTACCATGATCAAGTCAATTAGGCATATGTAAGTTTGTGATTTGATGGAGAAGGACATTGGTCTTGAAGTGTTTGATATAATTCAAAAGTGATGAGAAATTTGAGAATGTAACATGTATAGTGTTGTAAACATGAGTAATTGAGTATAGTCTTCTATTTATTCAATCTTCTTATTGCATCTTAAATTTGGGCTTTAACAAGGGACCAATTAAGGTTGTATTTTGATTTTAAAATGAGTGTAAATCCAGGTTTGGCGAATGGAACTTATGTACTATTGTCAATTTGTATGAAAATTTTATGTATTTGGAGCTTCGTTGTTTTATAAAGATGATTTTTTTAAAACATGTCACTTGTACTTGGCTTAACACACTAACAAAAAGTATAGTTTAGTCGCCAAGGAGGTTGTGAAGTGCCTTTTTCCCATGGTACAATGTTTCGAAAGTCAGCCTCTGTGTAAGTGTTTCCCACTACTCAGATTCTCTTGAGAGCTTCGACAAGCTCATTTTCGTTGGCCTGATTGGAAACTCCAAAACCGATGCGTATGGAGGAGTAAAGATAACGTAAAGATAAAGGTGACACCATACATTGTAAAAATAATATAATGGAATCCGTGGATAATGTTCTTTGAAATCATGGCCCAACAATGAAGAATATCAACATTATCACATCAGTTCTGACTCCAAGCAAATTGGGAAGTACATTGTCCTTGCTATGGCTCGAGTCTATGCATTCTCTTAAAAGATCCAACACACTCTGTTAGGGACTGTGTAAGAATGATGAATGACATTTTCAGAAGCAACCCTGATATCACCAGGGAATACATGCAGAACTTTGTTAAAAGCTCTTGTGACTAGAAGCTAGGAATTGTGATGGGTTCTGATGAACCTCTCCATCCTTTTTCAGGAAATGCACTACTATGGTACTTTCTGGTTTGTCTTCAATGATTAAGTTTATGGTTGCTGTGAACCAAGATATGTTTCTTCCCCGTGTACTTCTCTCAGCATATTGTAGAAGCACGGTATTCAACATGCTGTATGTGATAGTCATAGGGCCGGCAATAGGCCGGGCCAGGGTTGGCCAGGGCCTATTCCAGCATCATAGAGCCTGGGCTTGGGCCTGCCTATAGGCAGTTTTCTGCCAGGTCCGGCCAGGCCAGATAAGAATCTAGTACTGGCACATTGGCCACATATAAGGACCTGGGTCCTATTTAATCTTGTCAAGACAGGCCACTCAGCCCGTTGTCAGCCTAGGTCATACTCAAACTACTATTATAGAGTAAAATATATGCATGGTACCAACGGGCTTCTTAGTTGTGGAATGCTACAATGGCTTATTTGTTACTAGTCAAAAAAATCATGTCATGTTCTATGATGCTTATTGCAACCATGGAAAATGAAACCATGAAATAAAGACCATTCCGTTCGTTTTGTGAAAAATGGAGTAGACCAAGTCTGTACTTGTGCTAATGATGAGAACCATGAATGTATTGAATTTTCCAATGCCACACAGCCTTGAATAATTACTAGTCATGCTTGTGTGAATTTAGTATACATTACATAAATGAGCGGAATGTGGATGTTTGTCATGCAAAAAGTAGAAAGCTTCTCTCCCTCTGTTGGTGCTGATTTTGATCACTTTCATCAGATTCTGGATAAATCTGGCAAAGGATTTAAGATATTCTGTCAACTGACAACAAAATAATGAGAGAAACTGAAGAAACATTGAGGTCGTTGTGTTAGTAAGCAGTTAACGTGTTTTATGCGTCTTAAAGGTATAAGAAAACATTAAATGTATTAGAAAACGTTATTAGCAAAATGACAATGGAGTCATAAATGAGGTAGCCAAGCATCACATGTGATTAATGGCTCCAATTTTCAAACATTTTAAATGCAATGTTCACATTGTCATGGTGCAACAAGTTACAAGCCCCCAATTTCCAGTGAGATCTCTTTCGCTGAACAGGCACCAAGACTCTCAAAAGGCTGGATTCCCTTGGGTACGACATCTACATCCACCTTCGGTCGTGTCAATCTATTGTTGCTGATAATATTTATTTGGAGAAGATAAGACGCACATACGTTAGGTGGGTGACCCGATCTTGTTTTGATGGAAGGTTCAGCTTTTTATCTTGTACTTTAATTGGTGGCTGGTATCATGGAAATGCAAGAAACAAGTGGTATCAAGATCTCTCAATTGCACTGGCGCAAGAATCACTAAAACGTTTTTCAGAAGTTTTTAGTGCTCAATTTCTTGAACCTGTATAGTTTTCTTTATGGTGATTGGGATAATAGGGAATTAACCTTTAATGTTTTTTGTCTATATATATTTTTGAGTTTAAGTTGAGGAATTCGTCCAAGTCCCACTTGGCTTGAGCGACTGCTTAATACTAAAGGCAGTATACATCCCAGGGTTGAAAAATTTGAGTCCTATCAAGGATTTGCTGAGATTTTCATAGGTCTAACCTGATTCTTTTCCATGTCAAAAGAAAGAGTGAAATCTGAAGAACATATTAGCCTGGGCAGATAGTCAACTCCAGGCTTGGCAAGTCAACACAGCTCAAGATCAAGCTGAGTCCCAGAACAATCCAAGAATACCTTTGTAGTTTTAATGAAAAAACATATTGAACCACACCTTCACTTTGTGGGATGATGTGACAACATTAATAGCAATGATGCTACATGTTCTTTGTTAAGAATTACTTGTCTGTGTAATCATCAATGTGTAAGAAAAAGAATAATCACAGATATTTACTTGGGAGTTGAGAATTATTATCAGCATTTCATGAGCTTCAAGAAGAGTGGTGATATATTTAGCCTATATAAATTATTACGTGCCTATTCTTCAATCTTCTGTAATCAGAAGGGCATAGTCATCTTTTTGCAGGTACTTTAGTGGATATGGCTGACTCCACATTGGATCTAATTGTTGGTCAATACTCGATAGTAATTGTTTATATAAACCTTCTTTTCAAGTATGTTTAAAATTCTTGAAAGTTAACTTCATAATTGTTTGTTATTGAAGGAACGGGTAAATAATTGTTGTGACAAATTCATAGTTAGTTTTCCTCATCCCTGATGCCATTTGTTTCCTTCATTTCATAATTCATATACACTTTAGTTTGCCACCATCCATTTCTGTCTCTGTAATAACGTATGTTTCCTGGGTTTCAGGTCATGCCTCCATTATGGTGTAGATTGGACAGGCTCTGGTTTGGACATCCTGGCATATTGCCAGGAACAATGACAAGAACACCATTTGTTTGCCCCATGGACCATGTATTGGAGGTATTACTTTCCAAGGAGCTGGTCAATGGTGATCTGAAATCAACATTCATGTGATTCTCATGACACTTATTTTCACTTCACTGCTCACCTTTGAGTTATGAAATGAAAATTGGTAACCTAAGACAGCTACTCAACTATGCATGCTTCGCATGCCTAGACAATGGAAAACTGAAAATGTTGTCCTTTGTTTAGGATGGGTATTTTTCATCTCTCATTCCTCTTGTGCTTTAGAACCATCTTCAGGATTTTAAACTGTGTTTCTTTAAGATATCTAGTTATGTATTCAAAGTTATTATTTTTTTCTGGATTATATTAGCCCCATCCTTGTAATAAACTACAAGCACTAGAAACTTTGCTTGATTTTACAATCCTTTCCGGATGCATCTTGCTGTATCATGTCTTTCCTTGTTTCTCTGCATTAATTGTTCTTCTGATAAATGCATGCTAAATTTGTCAGAAGAGGTAATAGAAAGTAAGGGTCCCCAAAGGAAACAGAGATTACTCAGTCCATTTAAGCAGAAAGTCATATAGTTACTCTTCTTTGCCGAGTACTGGTGGTATCAATTTCTAATGCTCAAAAGGGTCTACCAACTCATGATCTAAACATCCCGTCTCTATGCAGGTTAATGTAATGTTACATGGACTACCAGAAGATGAATTTGGTCCGGTGATTGATTTCAGAGAGTACTCTTTCCTCGACAATCCCTTATTGCCCAAACAGGTACGAACCTAGACCCACCTGTATGCTAAATTAATGGAAACACATCGTTGGCTTGTAATCTGTGAGACAGAGAGAGAGAGAGAGAGAGAGAGAGG